TGACATCTCCAACGGACACGCATACCGTTGATTCTGAGGACGCCAGTCTGACTCGACAGTCGACAGAAATAGAATGCGCAGTACCGAGAGGTGTTGCTTCTATGTTTATCCTCTACTGTACGATCTATCGGATTCAAAGCAGTAACCTGTGATTGTACTCCAATGGCACGAATATCAATGAAGGCCTCCTGATAAAGGCCAGGATTTCAAATCTTGAGGCAACGGGGCAGCGTCTAAATGTGCTTTCGCCATCAAATCCCTAGATAGCAAAGACCGAAAAGGAAATACACCAAACGGGGCAACTTAATTAGTATTGAGTAGGAACACTCAGTAGTGGACAAGACGGGAAGCAAATATCAATAATACTCAGTCTCCAGAAGATATGCATGTACATACATCCGTACCGTATATCCACCTAACTTACAATAGTTATCCATGTATGTACAGTAAGCAGGAAAATGCTGCATAGCATATCCTTAACTCCCACTAGAGTAAAAGTGGGCCCCTGGCAAAAGGAAATAAGAGCAGTCATATTCATGGCCCGGATCTATGAAGAATCAAACGGATCTTACGCCTCCTTCTTTTTCCTTTTTTCTTATTTTTCCCCTTCACTCGCCGGCTCGCAGCCCTGACTCTGAGGTCTCAGGCGCTCAGCTAACCTGCCCCACGTTGAATCCCCATAGAAGGCGAATCCTGGAAGCCATCCGCCATGCGTAACGACTTGTGATTGACAATAAGATTCATCATCAATTCTCCTTTTGCTCTAAGCCTTTGATTGATCCTCGTCACGTTGCATCAGAAGTTGGGGAATTGCCATTCTGGGGCATAGCTCGCCTCCAGTGATGATTCGGGTACTATGCGCCATGCAATATGCAGTACATATCCCCTGCCTTCGAAGTTCGAATGGGGTTCTCTCTGCTTCTACTTACATGCCTCTTGGGGAAGAACCAGTTAACCCGGGTCTAATTCATCAGCAGTCCCAGGGAGCAGTAACGGAGACTCTGACATAAGTACCAAACCCCTGTTTGGATTGATTGCCATGGGGACGTGCTTGATCCAGGTGCTAAACACGAGAGTACTAGATACTGATTAGGAATTAGCTGCTAAGTTATTCGCATAATCATGGTGGCCTTAAACAAACTCCAATTTACAAACAAGCGATCCTTGCAAGACACATCTTTCATGAGGGTAGCTTTCCGTTCGCTCGAATGATTGATTGATTGATAGTCCAACAGATTGAATTTCATGCAGAGCAGCCATTTTCCGGCATGAACCATTCGCGGACCTCAACTTGATTAATTTCAGAAGTACAGTGCGTAGAGTTCGACGTGTACCTACATGAGTCTGTTTGAAGGTTATGGGACTATGGGTATGCCTGCAAAGTTTAGGTTGGGTACCCCGATGATAACCTCACGGATGTCCATTAGGAGCCCCTGCTGAAATTGTCCGGGTGGGGTGAAGTTGATCAAGGTGGGCCTAACTTATTTACGAAATTGGTAGGTCACGATGCTTGGACTTCGGATGGCCTAGTTCGCATGAAGTACTCGACCGTGGGTATCCGATAGATGTCCTTCGGATACGCTATCAGAAACTTCACTGAAATATCTTGTCAGATAGAATGATCGTCATGGTCAAAGAGCCAGCAAAAAGGGAGCTTTCCTCAGTCTTATTGGCAATTTGGCATAACTAGAAGGGTATTGTGATTTGCGAGGATTCGCAGATTGACCAGCTCCGTACGAAGTAGTAGTTTTAGTGCTGTTTAGCGAGTTTTTAGAAGGAGACTAAGGGCCGTCGCGCGAGGTCTAAGTGTATATCGGATCTCATCCAGGCCAACGGGTTCACACGCAAACTCCGTTAATTCAAACATTAACCCGTCCGGTCTGGATTTAGCTTCCTCCTTCCAAGGTTGTAGTCAAATAGTCCACACTATCTCTCCCGTCAATTACGGGCTTATCGATTTTGCTTTTTGTTCTCTAGGGCCATTGATGCTGAAGGACCTTTCTATTTACTACCTGCTGAAGACGTAGTCAGGCCAGTTCAGACGCTCAACCCGTTACTGACTCACTGTACACTACTGTACAGTACTATAGATTTGTGTAACTACATCAGGTTAAACGTAAACGTCCAAGGTAAGCACTACCAGAAAGGCAAATTGATCGAAACTCAAATGGAACCATCTTTGACAGGTCATAAAAAGCAAATGGGGTTTGTTTCAAACCCAACCATCAGCATGTTAGCATTCAATCAACAGTCAACAATCTCCAGTCTGAATCAGTGCGTGGTCCATGTTTACCTGTCGACTCGGACTAGGCGAGCTCCGACATATGCTGCATTATCAGAGTGGTATTTGCCTGAGGCCGCAAGTCCAACACCACGATTTCGACACGTAGTGAGACGGACAGAGGCTAAACCCGTTTGCGCGTCTCTTAGCACTATTGTTCATCTGGAAGGCGTTGGCGCTGTGGCTAAAACTGTAAAAACGGACACAGACGTCTCCCCGTTTTTCCTCACCCATCACAATCATCCAATAGATATTCGGACCAGCTCCCAGAGTCTCCCGTCAGGGTGTGGAGAGACAGGGATGGCCCTGCATGACAAATGCAAGACTCTTCATGTATCGATTTATTCTGGGAGCACGACCATAATCAGCAAATGTTCACTGTCCTGGAGGCTGGAACCTGGATGTATGATCAACTCGTGCTATGTTTCAGTTTTCCCTATGGAGTACTCAAGCAATGCCTTTTTTCTTTCTTGAATATTTCTGATGCTTCAAGCTAAGTGGGACGAAGATGGATAGCGCAGGAGATGGTCATGCCTCTCGCCTACTATGGAATATTCAACCTGTACCAAAGCAGGTGGTTACAAATTCCCAGTTGCCACTCGAGCAAGGCATGAATAGATATTCCATCCTCTACGCGACCAACCCTATATTGTCTTGTGCATAATACCTCAAGACTTGAACCCTTGATACTTGAATCTGGTCTGAAGTCTAGGCCGTACGACAGACGCCATTCAAATACATTGCAGATATGGAATGTGTCCTGTACCAAGAGTCAATGCATCAGTTGCAACGATTACTGCAGCTTCGATCGGATGCTACTAAACATGCAATTGATCCCCATGCCCGTGCAGTTCCAGTCTGAACACGGAACCTTACTATGGACCTTAGCCTGAGCTATGCCCATGTCCAAATCCCCACGTACCCTACTTACCGGGAAGGTGGAGGACCATGGGTCCATGGTGGGTAATTGTTGATCACTGGCAATCGCCTCATGCAAGGTATCGTGGACCTTGAGATTTATCGTAAGTCCATTTCTAGGTGCAACAAGCAGTCCACAATTTACATATTGATTCCAAATTGTGCTTCCGTGTTTATCAATCGTGTTCCGCGATGAAGGACTTGTGTTAGCTATTTTTATATCTTGCAACCATCCCCAGTTTTGTGCACCGATAATCATATTTTTCTGGTTCGGACTGTCCTGGCACTGTGGATCATTCATCTAGGTGCGCATTGGACTATGGAAGTATTGTACCTGCGAGACCAGGCAGCCGTGGAGGTGGTCAAGGTTCAGCAGGCGTATTGGTGAGCTGATGATCATCACCCCTTCAGCTCGACACGGACGCCGGGTCAGTCCATCCGCTGGGGCGAACGTACCATTTTAGAGTAGCTAGGGCTACAATAGATCGTCAGGTTGGTCCATCGAGGGACGGATCATACTCCGTACGTGATGTAACCATCTCAATCAACATCTAGAGTCCAGCGGAGAATAGTAGATAGAACCTTCGAGTCTGCTTGCCTCTTCAGAAGAGGCTGCTACCTCGGGCCTCGAAACTCCAGTCTAGGCCGGACAATTCTACAGGTATCAAACTACCCACAACTCCCTGCTGAACGAGTGGCAAACGAACCTTGAGCCCGAGCACCCATTGCGATGTGTAGAAACTCCCATCAGATCGTGCATGGTCGCGCGGGCACAACCTCATGAGTCTAGAACACTTACTGCAAGACAAAAGAACATCGAACCTCTCGTGTGACTATGACCCCGTCCGCGTATGACATGCATATGCGATCCCAGCAGGCACGCTGGTCGCTGCGTGCTAGTGCTAAGAACTATACATCCCATTCAGATTCAGCTTTCGGACACGTCAAGCTCGAGGCATCTCGCGAGTGTTCATCGACCGCGAAGTAGGAACAGGCCAGCATCGGACTATGAGGTCCAAATTTGACACCTGTCGTCACTCAAAATACTCCCAAGCAGGAAACCCTCATTAACCGTGCTCACCCTCTTCCACAGATGACGCTGTACCTTGACTGAACCAGAATTCCGGCGCAATGGCCTGCAGATCCTTCGTTCGCAAGGTTTTGTCGAAGAACGTCAACGAGCATGAGTTCCTGCCAAAGAGCACGACCCGACCCGGCAATGTGTCCCTGATGCCCCGTTTATCACTCCCACCGTGCAACTCGGGGACAGATCAATCGCTGACTTTGAGGACTATCAAAAACAGGTTTCCGCCCGAGCTTCTCCGCGTCATTTAGACAAGATCTGGGATTTCTTTTCTTGCGCTTTGCCTTGAGCTATGTCAGTTTGAATCGCTGAATCTCGGATCGCTGCCACGGTTTAGATAGGTTGGAAGGAGCAGAACTGACGAGTGATACGGGGAGAAGAATTAGGTCCGTTCAGTCTGGGCGTGTTCCTGGAGACTAGCACGAAGGGCATATCCCTCCTCGTCTTTGCGTGCTAAAGCCAAGGCTTGATTGAGCACCTGTTTTCATCTCTGTGCACTGTTATGGGGCTCTATGGAACAGGTCGCTGGGATACATTCAATTAGTTCTATAGACACAGACACTCTTACTAGAAGGATAAGCAAGACTTCAGGGCCGGTAATGTCTGAATAAGGGTTTAATGCAGTCATCTATTAGTCCCTCGAGGGGCTGAATTAGGTATAATACGCCCATTCCGATCGCACCGAATCCTTTGATGTCCTCGATGAATACAACAGTCTCACTTGGATGTGTCTTTAGAACGCTTCTCCCAGCCGATGATGCTTGGCTTCATGGGGCCTGAGAAGAGTGATGAATAGTCAGTTTCAGGTACTCCTTTCTTTCCATCCACGTTGAAAAGTCGTAGGTGGCGCACAATGGTCGCCAGAATCACACCAATGTTGACATATGCGAATTTCTCGCCGATACAGCGGTGTCGGCCAGCACCAAACGGAAGATAGGGACTTGACGTGCCCTTGGAGACGGCGCCGTAACCGTAGTCGACAACCTCGTCGTTCTCCTGCTCCTTAGCAGCCTGGTTCTCCCAGCGATGGGGGTCCCAGCACCCGGCATTGGGAAAGTGTTCGTCGCTGAGGGCTGTCACTCCAGGTGAAGCAAGGAGCACGCGACCGGGAGGAATCATGTAAGGGGTTCCGGGAACGGGCAAGGGGCTTTTCACCTTGCGCATGAGCGAGTGAATAGAGGAATGAAGTCGTAAGGTTTCACGAACAACATGTTGATGGAAGGGAAGTTTGTCAAGATCCTTGTACTGGAGCGGAGGAAGACTGCCGTCTGGCCCGACGGGGCCAAGATTGGCCAGCTGCTCCTGATACAGCTCTTCGAGGACTTTTGGTTGTGAGGCCAGTCGCAGCATAATCCAGGCGCTGATGGACGAAGACGAATGCTGACCAGCCATCAACAGGGTTATCATCATGTGCGCAATCTCTTTATCAGGCACCTGCTGTCCGTTTTTGTATGTGCTGTTCATCAGGTTCCAAATCATGTCTGATTTCTGAGAGTCCTTTTCACCGTCAAGACGACGCTGATTGATGATGTCAATATAGATTGACCTCATGCGCGCATGAGCAGCATCTCGCTTCTTGTTATGCGGCAATGGGGCCCAGGGTAGCATGAAATTGATGGGAGTAAAGCCCTTGTCCAGATCATGATAGAGGTCAGCGAACTCAGCCGTGAGTTTGGAACGAACTTCCTGGCCTTGGAGGGCTCGAGCAGCGGTAAAAATGGTAATCTCAGCCATTGCAGCAGAGATATCCACCTGGCCGGACGAGCCTTGAAAATTCGGCGAATTGCGCAGGTAGTCCAAAACCTCCTTCTCAATAAGTGGCACATGAGACTCTAACGCAGACTGAGTCAAGCCGTACTTGATGAACTTCTTCTGCTCCATCAGCTTGGAATTGGGACAATCATACACCACGTCAGATCCGAAAACGGGAGTTGTCAATGGACTATAGACCTCCTCCGCATTGACATCCTTGAGCTTGCCGTTGAGAATAAACTCGTTCCCTTGAACGCCGAGGTAGACGGTAGTTTTTTGGCCCAATAGTATAAAAGTAAAGATATCGCCATACTGCCGGTTGAGAAAGCAATACTCAGCAATGCGCCCAGTGTCGAATGTCAAACGCCAGTCTTGAAACTTACCTTTTCTCTGCAGGCAAAGAAGAACTTGTAGGGATCAATCCCGTAACTGATGGTACTACCCAGAAATGGGACCCAATGAAAGACCATTGGCGGTTCTGTTCGATTCCAAAGCCGAAAGAACAATTGATAAACAACATTGAGCAAGATCGCCGTCAGCATCGCAACGGCCATGTAGGCCGTGAGCAATAGCATCGGCACCATTTCGAGGAGACACAGGGAGGGTCAGCCCGAGAATTAGAGAGTTGCAGCGATGAGGAGAATGAAAAATAATAGGAGGAAAAGGGATAAAAAGTACAATTTTATAGATTGGAATCCTTAAGGCCTAGGACAAGGACGAATGAGAAACCAGCTAATGAATAACATGTTCCATGCTGTTTTTTATACCTACCTACCTACCTATATAGGTTCATAAGTATATCTACCTACCGTAGTATGAGTAAGGGGTCATGATATGCTGGAATTATACCTTAGTAATTAGGCAACTCTCATTCGGCTCAGCACACATCCGGACCGCGTGACTCTAGAGACACCCTGCGGTAATGCTGCGATTATTCACCCATGAGGTTTCCCCGGATGAGAAACAGTGTAAATTATTCAGAGTGCTTCTTGTCTTCTCTCTTGCTAGGCACATGCTTCAGAATGCTGCCGCTGAGCAAGATTTGAACGTCATGATATCTCCAGCTCGCTGCCCAGTATTCTGTTATGTATGTGAAGACAGTGCATGAGCATATATTGATCAGCCCATCCTGCATTTGACTGATCGGAGGAAAAACAAAGCTTCTGTCGCGGACTGTCTCAAAGGCTCTCTGGCAGAATACAAGGCTCTGCGTCCACCGAATCTAGAGACTGGGGCACATGCTCGCAACTCTAGGACGGGTTTGTTCAATCTTGTACCGCAGAAAATAGGACATCTCATGGTGGCCTCATAAGTCATCCAGTCGTACACTGCTTCCGACACTGCACGCTATGCTTCCTTCTGGTGAAAAGGCGTCTATTCCCGCTATAGCCGCCTCGAAAATTCCTCCCAGCATGGCTCGCAAACTGCTAGGTATTCTTCACTGCATCCAGAGATATTCATCCTGTGGCAGCGACGATGCCCGAGATATCAAGTCGTCTTCATTCCCACAAGGTAATTGCACAAAGCTGGCCAGAGCCCGGCCCCCGCCATGTCTGAGCATTGAAGAAGTGGCTGTCACACAGATCGACGTATATATTCTTTTCTTAAGAGGCTCTCTTCGGCTGCTGAAACACAGGGGATCAATACTGCTTTGTACACCCTTTTGCGCAGTCAATTCCACTCTTGGTCATAAGAGAAAGTCACTTCTGTCGTGGCGGACAATCCGGTGAGCGGAGTCAAGCAAAGTCTTGTCCTGATCTTCAGAATTGCCCAGGGATCCTTGGCAAATCAGTCCCACCCATTCTATCGCGTAATTTCATCATCTGTTTCTGTTGGTGAGTGTCCGCAGAAGATGGATGTGGAAAGCAACTACGGTGAGGGAGGATATATGTCATGGTGGTAAGAAGAAAGACCAGAGCATGAAGACATTGGCCAATGAACATCCATGTAAACGACAGCTTGACAGTTTGCGACTCCACAGCAGTGGTAAGAGATTTCCTCAGCAGTCACACTGCCACAGAACTCCGAACTGTGGTTAGTGTACCGGCAGTGGCAGTGGCAGGGCAGTTAGTTATCTTATCGGTGGTATGAGTCAAAAGATTTGTGGCCGAAATCGCCCCTCGCTCATTGTTCTGCCCCGCCGGTCTGGCTCCAGGTTTCCTTTAAAATTTCCTTTTCCCTCCCCCACGAATTTCTGGCTAGCTTAGTCAATTACTTCTTCTCTTCTTCTCGAGCATCTTGCCGTCTAATTACCTAGAGTGGTTTCTCAATTGCTCGTGCCCAGCATGTGTGGAATCTTCGCTTGTCACCAGTACGTCCATTTCTACAGCTTTGTCCCTTGTGCATGTGCCCCACGAATTTTAGTGGGCGGCCGCACATCGGACAGGGGCCTCCTCCATGTCTGATCGAGTCCGCGCTGACCATTGATTGTGTGACAGTCACCCCGATGTGCAGGCATTTAAGCCCACGGCTTTGCGCATGGCCAAAGCGTAAGTTTCTTGCATCAATTCATACCTCATCCTACGGATTCGGGACTGACCGTTGCCAGTGTGCGCCATCGTGGTCCCGATTGGAGTGAGTCACCTCGCTTTCGGGAAACTCCTAGAATGTCCGGCTAATCGCAACAACGATAACAGGTGGAAACTGGTCTTCTGAGGGCACTAGTTCGTACATCTGGCAATTCATATCAAAGCTCGCTGAAATGCTAATTGAACCCTAGTCCTCGCTCACGAGCGCTTGTGTATCGTCGGTGTCGGTTCGTGCTCATGCCAAGCTTCCCGCGTTCGAATTTGCATTTGCTAAACTCACAGCAGACTCCGGAGCGCAACCCCTCGTCAACGATGATGGCACCATCGCCCTGGCCGTCAACGGCGAAATCTACAACCACCGGATCTTGAGAAAGGGGCTGAAGAAGCAGTACAACTTCAAGACACATTCAGATTGTGAAGTGGTCATCCCTTTGGTATGCCCCGAGACATCTCACACAATTGCCGGCTTCCAGAGGCTAATCAGCTTCAGTATATGGAACATGGCCTTGATGCTCCTAAGCATCTCGATGGCATGTTCTCTTGGGTTCTTTATGACAAGAAGGAAGACCGGGTGGTCGCCGCTCGTGACCCCATTGGTATCACCAGCTTCTATATCGGATGGTCCTCTGAGACCCCTGGAGCTGTTTACTTCGCCTCCGAGCTGAAGTCTTTGCACCCTGTATGCGACAAGATTGAGGCTTTCCCCCCTGGCCATGTGTACGACTCCAAGACCGAATCGATGACCCGCTACTTCCAGCCCAAGTGGTGGGATCCCACCAACGTCCCCACAGCTCCTGTTGACTACAAGGTTATCCGTGCATCTCTGGAGAAGTCCGTGCGCAAGCGTCTGATGGCGGAGGTGCCTTATGGTGTTCTGCTGTCTGGCGGTCTCGATTCCAGCTTAGTGGCCTCCATCGCCCAGCGGGAGACCCTGCGTATGCAAGAGGCGGCCAAGAACGCTCTTGTAGACCAGACTGGCGCGTCTGATTTGGTCGGTATTGACGATACTAACGAGCTGTCGACCGTCACCACTTTCCAGCAATTGCACTCCTTCTCTATTGGTCTTCCTGGCGCTCCCGACACTGAAGCTGCCCTTGAGGTGGCCAGATTCCTCGGCACCAAGCACCATGCCTTCACCTTCACCGTTGAGGAAGGTCTCGACGCTCTCTCCGATGTCATCTACCACCTTGAGACATACGATGTGACGACTATCCGCGCTTCTACTCCCATGTACCTGCTCAGCCGTAAGATCAAGGCTATGGGCGTCAAGATGGTCCTCAGTGGAGAAGGCAGCGACGAGATCTTCGGTGGTTATCTGTATTTCCATGCCGCTCCCAACAAGGAGGAGTTCCACAAGGAGACTGTCAGACGTGTCAAAAACTTGCACTTGGCGGATTGTCTCAGAGCCAACAAATCCACCTCTGCTTGGGGACTCGAGGCTCGTGTGCCTTTCCTGGACAAGGAGTTCCTCGAGGCGGCCATGGGTGTCGACCCTCAGGAGAAGATGATCACGAAAGAGCGCATTGAGAAGTACATCTTGCGGAAAGCTTTCGACACCTCGGACGAGCCCGACACCAAGCCTTACCTCCCGGAGAAGATTCTCTGGCGTCAGAAGGAGCAATTCAGCGACGGTGTCGGCTACAGCTGGATTGACGGCCTGAAGGATCAGGCCGAGAAGCAAATTACGGATGAGATGATGAAGAACCCCAAGCCGGAATGGGGTAACGATATCCCTGACACCAAGGAAGCGTAAGTTCCACCTATCTCGGAAGCCCGGGTTGTAGACATAAGTCTAACAACAACTTTCAGGTACTGGTACCGCATGATGTTTGACGAGCACTTCCCCCCAACTTGCGCGTCCACCGTCGAGCGCTGGACACCGACATGGTCGAAACAGACCGACCCCAGTGGAAGGTAAGAGCTCCAACTCATATTTGGTCGACGCTTCTCCCATGCTGATACATTAATTTTCAGAGCTATCGCAATCCACGCTGCCAAGTATGAGCACGTTGAGTAAATGGTTCTTTCAGTTTTGGTTCACGCAAGTCGGTCATCACAAAATTTTCTGGGCATAGACATGTATAGAATATTAAACGGAAGTACTCCTGGGATTGCAAAAGCAAAGTTTTGCAGCATATGTAAAGCTATTCGTCACTTTCTTTGAGCTTCTGGGACGTCCTTTCTGTTTCCCTGACCGACAAAGAGTCAAGTCACTGGTCTTACGGCGTTGCGATATATGTCAATTTATGTCCCTTAATGAAATCTTATCTTCAATTCTTGATTCATTCAAGCCCGAAGTCTGTAAGCGCGACCTGGGAGCCATGGTCCATTGAATGCGTCGAGCAAGGCATGCACAGCAGTTCATATCACGATATACAGGACAAGGAATGGCACCAATATTCAGCTCATATAGAGGGGAAAATAATTTTATTCATGAAGGACTTGGACTTCAACTGCTCGATCCTCTGTGTAACTGCGTCGACGCTAAACAATCCGAGTATAGATGATCTACCCCTATATAAGGACAGGTCAGGTACCGGAGGGAACCGAAACCTAAGGCATCAAAACAACGTCACGCGATTTAGCGGCTTTTACCGGCAACCCGATCAACAACCAATAGGCGCAAGATCCTTTTCCCGTGGCTTCCCCATTGTTTGGCAACTCAACCTTCTGCCGACCTCTTCGTTCTTCCCCCATCGCTTTCCACTTCTTCTCCCCTCCATCATCACCGAACCTCCTGAACCAACAGCTACCTTTCTTACCATTTTAATACCATTCTATCCTCTCTCATCCACAATGTCTGCTCCTGCTGCTTTCTCTGACATTGCCAAGGCGGCTAACGATGTATGCCTTCCTTTTGGTTCCTTGTTGTGAAGAAAGATAAATAGCGCAAACGACTTGTCGGGTAGGATCCTTCTGTGCTAATACATTGTGTTATAGCTCCTCAACAAGGACTTCTACCACACCAGCGCTGGTAAGTCTCGCTACCACCTTTGTACATGTTGCGCGATTGAGCTGACCACCTGCCTTCAGCCAGCCTCGAGGTCAAGTCCAAG